TATGAGTCCTCTATCATCGCAGACTGAAACGTCAACAAGATTATTAACATCACAGAGAAAGAAACAAGGTAACAGACAGCAGTTTATTGTGTAAGTTACAGCTGTTATCGAATTAAATCGCCATATGCTGGTAATTACCATGAAACAAATTATTAGACTACGCATTATAATAGAGTAAGTGTATATTACACCAGCTATAAGTTGATTTTTGTGCTGCTATGAAGCTTTGAGGCTTGTTTCTATTAGTATACTTTTTCATTCATATAATGAAGGCCTTGAAAGGGAGAGCAATGACGACTGTTACGTCGTATTTTGTAATAATAGCTGTATTTTGTGATACCTGACGCATTTTCTAATAAACTTGTATTTTGTAACATGTTTCCTTTTATACTTTTGCATTTTTTGAGAGATTCAATAAAATAATGTAAGTAACGTTATTACAAAAGACGACAGCTCTTTGTTACAAAATACGACAAGGTTTGTTACAAAATACGACAGGTTATTACAAAATACAAGTTTATTACAAAATACGACATGTATTACAAAATACGACGGTTATTACAAAATACGACGCAACAGACGACTTGTACGAGTTTCTAGTATAACGTAAACGTGTTTTTGTGCGTCTGCTGGCATCTAAGTTGTATCTACTGCCTTACATTACATCAAGAGGTATAAAATAATTATTATATACCTCCTTGATTAAATAAACATTATGTACATTTGTATTAATAAAGAGAAACTGATGAAAATGATATCACATTTTAGATGTTTTTTGGGTTTTTTTTTTTTTTTTTTTTTTTTTCTAAACATTTTTTTTTTTTTCTTCTAAACAGTTGCACTACACTGTTGAAAACAGTGTAGAGGATTTAAACGTAAAGCTCCGCGCAATGTTTTCCCGTATTTGTTGACACGTTTAAAAGATAAACGTTTAGCTCAGGGGTGGTGCTAGCCGGCTGGAGAGGCCCTCCGTCGGGGAGAGCTTCCACCCACCCTGTCGGGGAATAAAACCCATAATTCGTCGGGGAGAAAAAAAATGTATATGTATTTTCTACATATTAGTAGACCCAAAATCGATTAAATAAGCCTTTAAAACCCCTAAATTGTGATATTTTTTTAGGGCTTCGTCCCCATGTATTACATTCGAGAGACGATCACGCCCACTCTTTTCGTCGGGGAAATCGGCTTCCGTGTCGGGGACCTCGGACCCCCTCGGGCAAATTAATGTGGCCAATTAGGGGCCTTAAATAATAACGCATTAATATAATAGAAATTGGAACAACTGATGAGAAAAACGATATTGAAGTGTTGATTAGTTGGAATATTTGTATACGATATAAGAAATACTGTACATGCTTACTGTATTTCATCAGTACCGTAATTCGTTGGTATTTTGGTCCAAGATAAGTTTCTTGTCCCAAACACCTAAGTGTTTAAATACTGCAACTATATATGCATACATAGTTCATTCTCTCATATGTTATCTTTTTTTTAAAGGAAAAAACATTGTTTGCAATTTGTTTGGCTGTACTTGTGTTGGATTCCCTAGGCTATGTTTCGCATAACTGTCCTTCCTACCGACAACAAACAAAATTCAGCAGGAGCCGCGCCTATGTCGTGACCGTCCTCTTATCGAACGAACACAACTACAGAAAATTGAAAACTCATCCTCGCATCAAAAGTGACCCACCAATTACATGCTAGGCCTAGAATGCTTCATATTCAAAGGGCCTCGACCTCTGATTCCGATAAAAGCTAGCTCTTCCCCTGGACACTAACAGGGCGACTGGTGCCACTTTTTTTTACCCCTAGTTTTCATAGGGAATCCCACAGTGGCGGATCTAGAGGGGTTCAGGGGGTTTGGACGAACGCCCCTCTGTGAAACGTAACAAAATACTACTGGGTCCTTGCTTACAAAATTATGCTTACTAGATGCGGATCCAGAGGTCAGGGTGAGAAATCAAAATCAAATGTTGACCATTTTTTCCAACAATCATACTCACTTTCCTTGACACTTATTTTGAACATTATCATTAGGAAAATGTTTAAATCCACGCTATCCTACACCTTACACTTTTACACTGATTGTACCAGAGAGAGGCACATTCCCAATACATTATGGTCTTCCACTTGATACGCATGATATATGCAAAGCAAACGTTATGTAACCACTAATAATACTCAGGTCCAGTGGCGTAGGTATGGGCAGTGCAGAAATGGGGGCTCGTTCAATAGGTCTAATCTGGTCTAATGATCTAAAAATATAACTTCTATTTAATCCTATTTAAACTTTAAAAGGACCCTTCAATAATATTAGTTTTTAGAGGCTATAATATTGATTATATTCATTACAATTTACCTATTACCAATTTCCCACACGCTGCAAGTAAAAAAAAACCCAACAAAACAAGCCCTTACGTATACGATGCACTAATGTACTTTTTGAAATCACATTTCTAAAGTAATGAAATATCGTCACGCACATTTGTGTTTGTGGTATTTTAAAGTTGGTTCAACTATTATTGTGTACGTTTTTAAACACTTCAGATCATCATAACTTCACAAATACATTTTAGATTCACTTCAGTGCAAGTAGGTCGATGTTGTATTATTGAATGGTAATTGTTATTATCGTGATGGAATAGACAATACCTGGATTTGCGTCAGGAGAATCTATTAGGGGGCCTATATGTATTTTTTCCAACCTGTCGTGAATATATATTGAATACTCAGTGCGTGATGCACTAATATACTTTTTGAAACCACATTTCTAAAGCAATACAATATCGTCACGCACATTTGTATTGTGGTATGTTGAAGTTAGTTCAACTATTATTGTGTACGGTGCGAATACATTTTAGATTCAATTCACTGCAAGTTAAGGTGGAGATGAATGTTCTATTATTGAATGGTAATTGTTATTATCGTGCCGGAATAGACAATAACTGGATTTGCGTCAGGAGAATCAATTAGGGCCTATATGTATTTTTCCCAACCTGTCGTGAATATATATTGAATACTCAGTGCGTGATGCACTAATATACTTTTTGAAACCACATTTCTAAAGCAATACAATATCGTCACGCATATTTGTATTGTGGTATGTTAAAGTTGGTTCAACTATTATTGTGTACGGTACGATTTTAAACACTTCAGATCATCATAATTTCATGAATACATTTTAGATTCACTCCACTGCAAGTTAAGGTCGAGATGAATGTTTTATTATTGAATGGTAATTGTTATTATCATGATGGAATAGACAATACATGGATTTGCGTCAGGAGAATCAATTAGGGGGTCTATAGTGTAATTTTGCCCAACTCAGTGCGTGTTAAAGTTATTCTCCAGTGGGACTCAAACCCAGTTCTCCAGCTCTCCAGATCGCTAGCCTGGCATCATACCTCTAGACCACCGAGCTTGTACCTGATGGCCAAGGTTGAATTCGAGCCCAAGTAAGCAGCGAGTACTATTTTTTCACACGCACTGAGTAGGCCTATTCAGTGGGCATACCAACCGTCACGCATCGTGCGGGACAGTCCTGCGTTTCAAAGTGATTTTGGATGAAACACGCATTTTGCAGAAGCACAAGCGAGATCATAAATGTGTCACGCATTTAGCACTTGCGTGATAAGGAATTATCACAAATTCAGGGGAAAACGTATTAAAAAATTAGAAAAAATTGGTTTTATCAAAAATATAAAAACGGTCATACAGTAGCTTGAGTCATTAGAGAGCTTTCATTATTTCGTTTGAGAATAAATTCACAGAGAAAATTTCTCCTTTCCGACCAAAACAATCCAGCCAACCACGTACTTGTAGAATCTAGTAGTGGCGAGCAGTCTAGCGAGTTTATTGTTACAACCAGCCGTTGATTATGTGACTGGAACCCGAACTTCCGCAGGGGTTACGTAATAAGCAGTATACCGTATATACTCGCGTAGTGACCCGTGTATAAGACGACCCCCGAGTTTTAGAAGATTTTTGGTTGATATTTGTATGCCTGGCGTATAAGACGACTCCCTGTTTCATGGTCGGAATTCCTAATTTTGTGTGGTCCTGATACTGCATTTAGCTGGATAAAGAGAGCCAAATGCAAGGGTAATCTTCCAAATAACATCATTTTATGAGTTTTTAAAACTTCACCATCAAAATCGTATTTTCCCGTATATTTAAAATTGCTTTCATTCATACAACATTTAGTTGCTTCACTAGAGTAGTAAGTTCGCGTGTTACGACGATCCGTACATAAGACGAACATGATTATAAAAATCTAAAATATGAATGTCGTGCGTATAAGACGACCCCCTTTTTTCGATCGTAATTTGCTATTTTAAGCCACGTCCTATTAGGCCTATACGCGCGTATATACGGTATTTGTTTTAAAAGGTCACATGAGCGTTAGTCATACAGTGGCGGAT